GGACGAGTGAAGTCCTGAAGAGAGCTGATATTAATACAGTTATAATTATGACCTGTTACATAAAATGCTGCTGCTCTTGAGATATGTCGGGCTTTACTAGAAAAGCTCAGATTAATTAGAAGGTTGAAATGATATGAAAATCATTGTATTTTACAATTACATTCTAAAAAACAACAAAATATAGTTTTATTTTTACATTAGTTATCATGTTGTTGTTTTTTCAGAATATGCCTACAACAACATTTTGTGACAGCTTGATAATCGGGTTAATTAAGGACATTTTCTGTTTGAGTAAGCACAACATTTTGTTTAAGTCTAGTCTTTTTTTGGGGGTTTTTTCTTTGAGTTACAGTAAATTTAGGCTTTTTGTAAGAAAAAACTGTATTTGAAACGCACGGCTTTACTGGAGGCTTTTAAAGAGTAATTTGCCACAATGTGAAGCTGCTGTCGTAGCTGTATCCATTAGGCTTTGTACACTTGGTTTCTTTCTGATTTTGGCCTCCCGTCCACACTGAGACGCCGTTTTCACTCAAAGAAAACGCAGCGTTTGCACAACGCTGTCGAAAATAAGTACATTTGAAGACGTGGAAGCAAACGCAGAAGAAAACTGAGACTTTTTCAAAATTATGACACATTTTAGTCATAAGATGCAGTCATGTGACCAATCAAACCAAGATAGTGGAGGACAGTCCTATTAAAGATTAATATCAGCCTGTACATGCTCCAGCTTTTCTTCAAATTCTTTTATTCTCACTCGCTTTTGCAACTTTGTACTTTTGTGTTACTCGCAGCATCAACTCCACCTCATTGTTAGTCCATTTAAAAAGCTTTTCCTCAACATTTTGCTGGAAAGTAAGTAAGTGGCAGACATAAATGAGGCAAGCCGAATCTTCTTGTGTTTCACACATGCGCAGTACTGGAACGTAAGCGTTTTCAGCCGTTTCAATGTGGACGCACAACTCTGTGAAAACGACTGGTGTGGGGCGTTTTCAGACGTAAATCTATCCAGGCTAGTGTGGACATAGCCTTAATCGTCTGGTATATTTGGTGTTCCCTCTAAACAGAGTGAAATTTGTAACCAGCCATCATTATTTTTTATTTCACAACTAAAAGCATGTTTTACAGCAAAACAAGGAAAAATGAGCCTCCAGAAACAGAGAAAGGAAAAGTCGCATCTGTAACTTTCACTTGCAGTCTTAGCTAATGCCCACCTCACCATAGCTGCCTTCAACAGAGAAAGGTTTTAGATGGTTACCCTCTAAAAGCACATTTATATGCAGACCTTGTTCATTAGACACCTGTTATTGTTCATTTTAACTTAAGTCTCATATAATAATAATCTTATTTACTTATTTAATCTAAAATAGATAAACAGCCCAAATCTAATGTATTTCTTAAATTTCTCTTCTTGCACAAAGTGCTAATGATTATTGCTGAGGGGAAGGCTTCTGTGTGCACTGTGTAACAAGTTAGTGTTCATGATATGTACGTCTACTTCAGATAAACTAAAGCTCATTTAAAAAAATACTAATAATAACAACCTTGTTTAACACTTACCTTATTATATGAAACAGCTTCACTTTTTTGACACACATAAACAGTATTACAACAAAGAAAAACATCCTGATGACACAAAAATGATGTAATGGACATAATGAGGACATTCTTCTTAGTTTATGACTCATAAAGTTGTTGTAAACAAAGAAAAAAC